AAATCCGGAATTTTTGGGGTGGGAAAAGGAATTTTTTGGGAATTTTTTGGGAATTTTTTGGGAATTTTTGGGAATTTTTGGGATTTTGGGAAGGAGAAATAAAATTTATATAAAAACCCAAAAAATTGGGAGAAAATCCGGTGAAATTTAGAGGAAAAACGGCCAAAAAATGGGAAAAATCCGGAATTTTTGGGGTGGGAAAAGGAATTTTTTGGGAATTTTTTGGGAATTTTTTGGGAATTTTTGGGATTTTGGGAAGGAGAAATCAAATTTATATAAAAACCAAAAAATTGGGAGAAAATCCCAAAAAATTCTGAGAAAAAATGGAAAAAAAAGACAAAAAAATTGAATTTTTTGGGGTGGGAATGGATGAAAAGTTGGTTCCAGTCTGGAATTTTTTGGAAATTTTTGGGAATTTTTGGGATTTTGGGAAGGAGAAATCAAATTTATATAAAAACCCAAAAAATTGGGAGAAAATCCCAAAAAATTTTGAGGAAAAACGGAAAAAAAAGACAAAAAAATTGAATTTTTTGGGTGAAAAAAGACAAAAAAACCTCGTTCCAGCCTGGAAATTCGGGAATTTTGGGGTTTTTTTGGGATTTTGGGAAGGAGAAATCAAATTTATATAAAAACCCAAAAAATTGGGAGAAAATCCGGTGAAATTCCGAGGAAAAACGGCCAAAAAATGGGAAAAAATTGAATTTTTTGGGTGAGAAAAGACAAAAAAACCTCGTTCCAGTCTGGAAATTCGGGAATTTTGGGGTTTTTTTGGGATTTTGGGAAAGAGAAATCAAGTTTATATAAAAACCCAAAAAACTGGGAGAAAATCCGGTGAAATTTTGAGGAAAAACGGCCAAAAAATGGGAAAAAATTGAATTTTTTGGGGTGGGAAAAGGAATTTTTTGGGAATTTTTTGGGAATTTTTTGGGGTTTTTTGGGATTTTGGGAAAGAGAAATCAAATTTATATAAAAACCCAAAAAATTGGGAGAAAATCCCAAAAAATTCTGAGAAAAAATGGAAAAAAAAGACAAAAAAATTGAATTTTTTGGGGTGGGAAAGGATGAAAAATTAATTCCAGCCCGGAATTTTTTGGGAATTTTTTTGGGAATTTTTGGGATTTTGGGAAGGAGAAATAAAATTTATATAAAAACCCAAAAAATTGGGAGAAAATCCCAAAAAATTTTGAGGAAAAATGGAAAAAAAAGACAAAAAAATTGAATTTTTTGGGTGAAAAAAGACAAAAAAACCTCATTCCAGCCTGGAAATTCGGGAATTTTGGGGTTTTTTTGGGATTTTGGGAAGGAGAAATCAAATTTATATAAAAACCCAAAAAATTGGGAGAAAATCCGGTGAAATTTTGAGGAAAAACGGCCAAAAAATGGGAAAAAATTGAATTTTTGGGGTGGGAAAAGGAATTTTTTGGGAATTTTTTGGGAATTTTTTGGGGTTTTTTGGGATTTTGGGAAGGAGAAATAAAATTTATATAAAAACCCCAAAAATTGGGAAAAAATCCCAAAAAATTTTGAGGAAAAATGGGCAAAAAATGGGAAAAAATTGAATTTTTTGGGGTGGGAAAAGGAATTTTTTGGGAATTTTTTGGGAATTTTTTGGGAATTTTTTGGGAATTTTTGGGATTTTGGGAAGGAGAAATAAAATTTATATAAAAACCCAAAAAATTGGGAAAAAATCCCAAAAAATTTCGATGAAAAACGGAAAAAAAAGACAAAAAAATTGAATTTTTTGGGGTGGGAATGGATGAAAAGTTGGCTCCAGTCTGGAATTTTTTGGGAATTTTGGGGTTTTTTGGGAATTTTGGGTTTTTTTGGGAATTTTGAGGTTTTTTTGGAATTTTGGGGGTTGGAGAGATTGGAAATCTGCAGAGAAATTCCCCCCCAAAATTCTCAAATCCCCCTCAAAAATTCCCAAAATCCCCAAAAATTCCCAAAATTTTCCCCAGAATTCCCAAATTTTCCCCAAAAATCCCAAAAAATTCCCAAAACTCCCAAATTCCCCCAAAATTCCCAAAAAATTCCCATTATAACCCATTAAAATCCCTTTATAACCACCCCAAACCCCTAAAAATCCCCCAAAAATCCCCAAAAAATTCCCAAAAATTCCCAAAAATTCCCCAAAAATTCCCAGATTCCCAAAATTTCCAAAGATTCCCAAAATTCCCAAAAAATTCCCAAAAAATTCCCAAAAAATTCCCATTATAACCCCTTAAAATCCCATTATAACCACCCCAAAACCCCTAAAAATCCCCCCAAAAATCCCAAAAAAACCCAAAAAAATCCCCAAAATTCCCAAAAATTCCCCCAAGAATTCCCAAACTCCCCAAAATTCCCGGAATTCCTCCCCGAAATTCCCAAACTCACCCCAAAACCCCCCAAAAATTCCCATTATAACCCCGAAAAATCCCATTATAACCACCCCAAAACCCCTAAAAATCCCCCCAAAATTCCCAAAAAATCCCAAAAAAATCCCAAAAATTCCCAAAAATTCCCCAAAAATTCCCAAACTCCCCGAAATTCCCGGAATTCCTCCCCAAAATTCCCAAACTCACCCCAAAACCCCCCAAAAATTCCCATTATAACCCATTAAAATCCCTTTATAACCACCCCAAAACCCAAAAAAATCCCCCAAAAATCCCAAAAAGTTCCCAAAAAATTCCCAAAAATTCCCAAAATTCCAAAGATTCCCAAACTCCCCGAAATTCCTGGAATTCCTCCCCGAAATTCCCAAACTCACCCCAAAATCCCCAGAAAATTCCCATTATACCCCCTTAAA